AAATAATTATAAGGAGATAAAAGATACTAGAATTTTTTTTTAGAGAAACGAGTTTTTTAGCCACAAACTGCTCAATAAAAGCTCAAAAATTTGCTAAACTCCCCTCTAACTATTTTGGTAAAATTCTGGCCAAATCGTCAAGACCTTACATTGGTGCTTTCGTAATATAGTCTACGCCTACTCAAATGCAGGTTTTTATCTTGTTGGTTGGAATGAAGGACGAATATGTATTTGAAGTTTGTGGAAAACAGAGCAGCAAAGTGCTTTAGTAGTGCTTTTGGTAAAAAGCTCATTGAAGTTCGTCAAAACTCTGAAATGTTCTCATCTGGATCTCTCTTCTGCACACTCGCTACTCAGCCTCTAACTTTCATACGAAATTCACGGGAAATTAAGGTTCCTTGCGAGAAAGCCTTGTTTCAAAGTGTCATTGTCATCCCCAACCCATGGCGAATTCAACCTGCTTGCTCTTAGCTGATTGCTTGCTGTTCTCTCATCTCTCTACCCCCCCCCCCTAGATCGAGCAGGAGTAATTCGAGGACATGGTCCGTCTTACACAAACTGTACACTTATGCCCATCAGCAGCTGTTTCGTTTACAATGTCGCGCTGTCGGCGCCAACAGGTCATTCGGACCACACTCACCAATCATCAGCAAACTGAACGTGCTCTCCGGGTCAGCGCCGGGCAGTGTGAAGCGGGGGGCGTTTTTTAGGTTTCTTGTTGACATTGTCATTCCCGGTTCGACTTTGATGCCATCCCAGACGAGCTGAAAGGCGTCGAGTGTTGGGGTGCAAGAACGGGTAGGAAAAAGCACTTACGTGAAGCTTTTGCTGTGGAGGATTGTCGATGATCTTCGGGGTGATTTCATGTTGAGCAAATGCGGCAGCAACGTCACCCATATCTGAATTCGGGAATGGAATTTGAGGAACGCAAGGACTCGGAGCGAGATGACGACCACACTGCTTATTGAAGATAGTTGAAATTCTCGAAAAATACAGGGTGTCTCAAAAAATGTGCTAACTGTTTGGTTGTTAAAGCATTTAATTTGTAGCGCTGGCGTTAGCTTGGATTTATAGTAGGGAGCAAATCAGTCTCAACAATCCCTTCATTACTGTAGGACTACGGTAGAAACTTTGCGGGGTTTTGCGTCATTAAGTGTCAAAATTTACCCCTAAAGAAAGACTGAAGGAACTGAAATCCAACTAGAATAAATAGATTACTCAAAGTTACTCGTTATAAGTCTCGCACTTCGCCGTGATGCTTTCTCCGTAATTTATGTCAGATATAACGTTTTAAAAGTTTTTTTCGAACGGCCTTTCTCACAGTGGCGCCATATGCTGCGAGTTCCTACCGTAATCC